GCAATTCCCTTCTCTAAACACCACTTTTTCCAAACCGACAACCAAAAAGCAGTGCCTTTTACAATGTTTTCATTGTTTAAGTTGTTCTTCAGCTGCGGTGGCGAAACAAAACCTACTTAAAACGCCGGCCATTGTTTCGCTCGCAAATTTTCAAATTTTGTTGCGACATCCAAGGCTCGCATTTGATTGGCTATCTGTGAGTTTTTTTGATTATTGACCAATCAGAATGTCTGATTTGTTTCTTTCTTTGCACTGAATTAACCCTCTTCTGCACTCAATTAACTCTCTTCTGCACTGAATTACCTGAAAACTGCATTTACCTTGACCAATCAGAAATGAGTAATTTTTCCATGTATATTATCAATTTAATTAATCTATTGATATTTTAAAAAGAGATGGAAAGGCTGATCTTCGGAAGAAATGCAAAGGAAGGCGCTGTGAATTTATGGTTTTTTAACTGATCTTTGATAATAGATCTCTGAATCAAAGCATTTGCCATAACAATTTTCAACCTTCTTTATGAATTGAATCGCACCGCAATTATTTTGCTTAACTTTCCCGAATATTTACGAATATTTACAAAGCTTCCTCGCTGTCTCGCATTTTCGCGTGATGTTTCGGAAGGGAAAAGTCTGCAAAACCATTTTCTTTATATTGCCGATTTGGTCTAAGACTCCTCTAAAATCGATATCCTCTCGCTCTCAAAGGGGGTTTGTGTCTGGCACTGGAAGAGAAGTTGAAACAAAAGTGGTAAGTGAGCTCAGGAGCGAGATGATCATGGCTTGCTGATAAACTACTATATGATTATTAGCAAAATGTTTGAGTATCAAATTACTACGACGGCACAATATTTTGGGGAATTATTACTGATTCCTGACAACACTCCACTCAATAAAGTCATACAGAAAAACGTTAAAACTATTCCACAGCAAACAAGCTCGTCACATTCCACCGAGATAAACCCTTTACTCGGAGGATTAGATTAAACTTCTCTTGCATTCACCAATCGCTGAGTTTAGACGGAAGTACCTTTGTCGGTTACCTCTCTTTATATGGTCTTCTTCTATGTACATATTTCTCTTTCGATACGATTATGAATTAAGCCTGTTCAGTATTACTAACAGAATGAAAAAAAGGGCACAAAATCAAGGCTTACCTTGTGATGCGAAAGATCCTGCTTAACTCAGTCCGAGTTACCGCAACACTGATCTATGACTGCAATGAAATCCGTAATGATAATGAATTTGGGAAGAGTAGAAACTATTTGAATTAAAAAATGAGTCGGACGAAGTTGACCAAGATCCGTCAATTTCCGGCGAGTTCGAGAAGGAAAAGTTTGCCATTTATCTTCTCGCGAATATACTCCGATCTAATGACAGATTAAGCTTCGACAGTATCGGCTGACTTAGAAATCTAACTTCAGTAAAAACAAATTAAAACCTTGTGATTTATCGGGTCCGCTTCACCTTACCTGTTTCCTGCAAGTTTGTTAACCGCTTGGTGGAAAACTCCGCAACTCTGATCCACGAATGCAGTGAATTCAAATTGCTTACATGTCACTAAGCCTCCTCTGCATACGTGTCACTGAGCCTCCTCTGCAGAACCAACCAGATTTCTGTAAAGTATACTGTTTAATCACAGACAAGCTTATTTGATTGGTTCGCATTTTTAGTTTCAATTCGTGGAAATACGAACAGTGAAATTCCTGGATAACTCTGGAAAAAGGCCAACCAATAAAAAGCAGCTTTAGCAGGCTGAATGTGAAAGTCCAAAGTCTCTTTTGTGTAATGTTTGTCGTTCATAGATTTTTGCCGAGTGTCGATAAGCTTTGCACCAAAAAGGCTGGGGTTTGCTCGATACCACCGGTACCCTTTGCTATGATTCTGCCAAAGTCTTGACTGTGGTATTTCAGACCTGGTTATACGAATAAAGAAGGCTTCTGTGCACGTGATACTCATAAAGGTCAAGGCTTCATCTCTGTTTGTTTCAGCGCCTATTATTAACCATTTCCCCTTTGAAATGTTTCGCTGCTAATTTTCTAAGGGAGGGGGCGGGGCGGGAAGGTGTACATGGTCAATTATTAGGATGATTTGCCGTTGGTACTGTGAAAAGCTTTGCATGCACTTGTTGTTACCATTTTTATTGAATATTTTCATTTGTTAGCCGATTTCTTATTCTAGTGTTGGGAAGCATGTGCCTCCCAAAAGGCACAGCGGTCTTAGAGCGAACACGAAGAGAATGAGTCGCCATGTTTGTAGTTGTTTTCATTAGTTTGACTGCGGATTTACAAAAGCTCCTACACATTGTGAGTTCTTAAGTCGGATGAAGAGACAGTTCAGTGTTGGAAATTCCAAGGTTTACTTATTCGCTCGTATATTTTCCATTTAGCGAATCGTGCAAAGGTTAAGAAGTGTATGTGGTCTGACCTGATCTCGATTGTTTGAATAAATTGTGGATTTGCGACTACAACACTAGACCCGCTTGAGTATTCGTAAGCATTTTGCAATCCTATTTTAGACCAGACTTAAACTTAGCTTTACCAGTTTTGTAAATATCGGAAAAATTTCTTGATTACGCCCTCAGAAAACGATTTTTTGTCCATTGCTCCTAATCTGCTCTCCTTCTAAGCAGTTCTACAGGATGTTTCACAGCGCTCCCCGTCAACTAAAAAAAAAAAAAAAACTTTGGGGGAACTATTGAGTATCATCCTTAAGAAGTTCGTTTAGAGGGGAACCGCTCAAACAAATGTATATGTTGTTCCTGCCGTGAGCAAGATGATCTGGAATCGTGTTCAAAGATGCAATGTAAACAACTTCCTTTCTACCTTGGGCCGCCTAAACTGTGAAGTTCCCCAAAAGTGAATAACTTTAACCGGCCCCCTTTCTCCCTGATCCGCCTAAATGAACCACAAAATTGCTAAAATATGAGCTCTCACCACCGAATGAATGCCAACCACGCTAATGTTACTGGCTCTAACTAGCTTATCTTGAGACTCAAGTCAATAATAAATGGAAGCATGTTGATCTTAATCTTAAAGCTAAAAGGTTAGGTATCTGTACCGCCAAAACAGAGTTTCTGGCGATTGCCTCAAGGAAAAAATTACAATCTTTAAACCAATAATGTAGATGACATCCAAATGAACCAAACCAACTGGAGAAAGATTGACAGTGGTGGAAAACTCTCGTGAAAGGAGGCTTAAGTGCATGAGATTTGTAAAACAGCCTCGTCATGTTTCGTTGTATGCACTTAAGCGAGACAGGCCATTTATTTCCATGCAAAAGCCACTAATATACAAAAGGACATCTTCAACACAAAAGCATAATTTCATGTTGTTCCTTCCCATACCAAGAACTGACTACCTAAAGCTTAGTTTTGGTTAAAATTGCGGAATCTCTGAGTTACAATGTATACGACACAAAGGCAAAAGTTTCGTATCGTCTCTCCCAATACCAAGAATTGACTACCTAGAGCGCCGTTTTAGTTAACGTTCCGGGAATTTCGATTGATGTCCACAAAGGCAAAATTTCATAATTTCCCTCACCATATCAAGAATTGACCACCTAAAGCGTAATTTTAGTTAAAATGCCGAGATATTCGAGTTACAATGTCCACAACACAAAGGCAAAATTTCATATTGTCCTTTCCAATACCAAGAATTGACTACCTAAAGCTTAGTTCTAGTTAAAATTCCGGGAACACTGAGTTACAATATTCAAAACACAAAGGCAAAATTTCATCTCCCTTTCCAATACCAAGAACTAACTACCTAAAGCGCAGCTTTAGTTACCGTTCCGGGAATTTCGAGTCACGATGTCCACAAAGGCAAAACTTCATAACTTTCCTTCCCAAATCAAGAATTGACTACCTAAAGCGTAATTTTAGTTAAAATGCCGAGAATTTCTAGTCACAATGTTCACAACACAAAGGTAAAATCTCACATTGTCCCTTCCAATACCAAGAATTGACTACCTAAAGCTTAGTTTAAGTTAAAATTCCGGGAATTGGGAGTTACGATGTCTTCGACACAAAGGCTAAACATGTTTCATGTTAGCCATTCCCAAACGAAGAACTGACTACCTAAAGTTTAGCTTAATTCAAAATGCCGGGATTTTCGAGTTACGATGTCTATGACAAAAATAGGTACCCAATGGGTACTTGTGTCTGACACTTGTGTCTGTGTCTGCTGCAGTGAAATGGAATCTGCTGTAGGCGCCTTTTTTTTAATACTGTTAAACTGGCTAGAAACATCTCCCGAAAGGCAGTGCCATGGAATGCTCAAGGCATCACAAAGATGGGGAACTGAAGTGGTGAATGTCCAATGCTCCAGTTGGAGGTAAGGGATCATCAATGTCAATCATCAATATCATGATTGTGATTACATCTTCATCACTGTTTAAATAACTTTTATTGTGTTATGGTACTGCAAAGAATCTAACATGAAAGTGAACGTTTCTTTTATTTTGTAGCAGAATATTTAAATCAAAGAATTGAAATACAACAGCCTATAGTTTTTAACAAAATTGAACAGTATCTGAAGTCTTTGTAACACAAGACAACTGTAATGCAAACGCAGTAGCAGTCTTGCAAAGCAAGAAAAAGTCTCTGGTTGTAATAATTCCTAGGAAATCATTATGTTTTTCATTTAATGGTAATATGCAATCAATTTGGAACAAAACATAGGTAAAACAAAGTTAGTATATTTACATTGTTGTGTTCAAGTAACTAATAGGTGAATATACTTTTAAAAGTATTTTGAAGTGTTTGTCTTTTAATTGAAATGAAATGTATCAGAAATGTAACGCAACAGAAATATTATCCCAAAAAAAGCAGCACATAAAAAAATAATGTAAATAATGTTTATCAGTCAGAGAAACAATAATTTCACTTAAAACCAGTGCCTACAAAATGTTTGTTGCAAACTGTAACAAAACAGGTATTATTAACGTTTGGTATTCAGTAGTAATTTCCACTGATGTGTGACAGGAAATTGTTCATTTTATTCAGATTTGCACTGACTCCACTATTTTGTTGTTGAATGTTATGCTGGTTACAGTTGGTAACTCTAGAAGAAAGGCAGTTATGGTTTCTTCAGTGAGCGGAAGAGTGCTCTTTCCTTGTGACGCTAGCACATCATGCAGGATGTCGTTGAACAGGGTCACTGTGATCTTCGATTCTTTAATTTGTACCAGTAGTTGTACATAACATTGTTGAATAGTGGACTTCATATTCTGCTTGAGCCCACAAGTTGAACAGGTTAGTATGGAAGACGTCTCTATTACCAGCTTTTTATTACAGTTGCAGCAGGCTTGATATGCAGTGACACTTCGCACTCCAAGTATTTCTGCTGCTGCTGTTGTATTGGTAAAGTTCTGAGGTAGCTCAGCAGGATTAATGAGAGGTTGTGAAAATGGCTCAACTTCTGTAATTGTGCATCCTGTTTTGGGGGTACTCAAATATACGCCATTTGAGTTGTACTCCTTCTTTACTTGGAGATTTTGAAAGTTATAAGTTTTTCCTTCTTCTAATCCACAGAACTGTTCCCAAAGTGTCACCTTAATGGCTCCATGTGGGTCCACAAGATAGGCAAACAACTTTTTTTTTTCACCATCCTCTGCCTTCACTTTTTTTGTTGATGACATCTGAATAAGTTTGGCTTTGATGGTGATACTTTGATTTGTGTTTGCAGCTGAAATTGATTGGATATTGTTGGCACTTGGCAACTCAATTCTTGAAAAAGGTATTTCTTTTGTAGGCTCAGTACATTGTTATTCATCAGTACTGTGGTTGCATCTCCTGCTCTTTCAATTCTAAAATTTCGAAGTTTTATTGGAGATTTCTTTTTGCTCATTTGATCAAAGTGTTCCTGTTTACTTCCGGAGAAGCAGACTCCTCTTACTAAGCCATCAGTGGTTTGTATGGACATGTCAAAGTAAGATGTCTTGCTACTTTTTTTAGTTGGAGACACATTGTGTAAGAAACCAACAATCTCTTCTTTTTGTTCTTCCATTGCCTGCAAATGAAAAAGAACCTTTTGAGTTTGTTTCATAGCAATATAATGTATTTCAAAATTTCTAATAACATAGGGAGACTGACACCATGTTGACCAACACACATTATTTTGAAGACAGTCTGCCTCAACGTATTTTAAATGTTGCACCAGGAGAGGGAAACAAGCCCTTAAGTATATTCAGAGATCAATATTCTGAAGAATTAGCATATCCTGGTATATTCCTTGGTCAAAGTCGACCAGAAAATAAAGATAGACTAGCTAATGTTCATTATAGCGACACTTGTAAATCTGAACTAAGACGATCAGATAGGAGAGCTGCTATGTGCGTTGAAAATATATTCTTCAAAACAAAAAAGCTTCAAATGAAAATTCTCTTAGAAAAATCACAAGTTGCACTTAGGAAGTGCAAAGGAAATAGCAAATCTTCAAATGCTGGACAGTTGAAATGTGAAGGAGCAATTGATTCATCTTGATGAAGGATTCCAATTTTTGAAAGCATTGATACCTTACAACTGTATGCAAAGATCTGTTCATAGCGATGCTTAGATAGTTATTATCATGAAGAATACTAGTTCTATGTTTCACTCCTCTGTATAAAATCGCCACAGCTTTCGCACATGTTTGTCTAGTGATAGATGTTTTCACGTGTGTAGTGAAATACATGTATCTTCTGCCAAATCCATTTCGTAAACAGGGCATATTATATCCCGCATTGGGCTTTGTAATCCCCAAGTGAGACTTAATAATTCCCTTAACGGGCTTTTCATTCCCCAAATGGGGCTCAATTGTTCCCCGAAGGGACTTTGCATTCCCCAAATGGGGCTCATAAAGCTTATTTTGCGTCCTGAGCACTTGCAAAATGGCCGGGCGGTGATCGTGTTGGCGCCGAGAAAGCTTCAGTCGATTTACAAATTCAAAGCATCTTTCAAAACCTTTCACTCGGCCGGAATGACTCCCAGTGCGAATGCTGTGGCAAAATGAGAAAACACCTTTTAAGAAATCCATTACAAATATGAAAAGCGAAAAGATCACTCACCTTGCAAGCAATAATACACCCTGGCTTGACGAACGAAATCAGGACGATACGACGGAACCCAAACGTTTTTCGAAAGCACATGGTTTGACGGATTTGACTTTGTTCTTTTCTCAGATTTGTTTGGTTCCGAGTCTTCCCGGAAATCGGTAGTTTGCCGCGAACTCTTTCCTTTGTCCTTTCCTCGTATCCGATTGGATAGATTATTCCCCTGAGGAACGAAGTTTGCACCCGAAAGTATTACAGGCCGAAAGTATTACAGGCCGAAAGTATTACCCCTCCGTGCATACTTCATGTATCGTGTCACCAAATGGAATCCGCAGTGAAACGTCAAGAGTAAATCCGAGATCTTGTCGTATATGAAGTAGCTGGTCGCGCGTTTTACAGCTTATCAAAGTGTCTGCATGCATTATATATGCAGCAGACACAAAAATGCAAAATTTCATGTTGTCCCTTTCCATGTCAAGAACTGACAACGTAAAGCTTAGTTCTAGTTAAAATTTCGGCAACACTGAGTTACAATGTTCACAACACAAAGGCAAAATTTCATCTCCCCTTTCAATACCAATAACTGACTACCTAAAGCGCAGTTTTAGTTAAAATTCCGGGAATTTCGAGTTACGATGCCCTTGACACAAAGTTAAAATTTCATGCTGTTCCTTCCCATATCAAGAACTGACTACAGCGTAGTTTTAGTTAAAACGCAGATATTTTCGAGTTACGATGTCTTTGACACAAAGGCAAAATTTCATATGGTCCCTTCCTATACCAAGAACTGGCTACCTAAAGTGTAAGGTATTAAAAATTCCGGGAACGTTGAGTTACGATGACCACAAAGGCAAAATTAATTTCATAATATTCCTTCCCATACCAAGAACTGACCACGTAAAGCGTAGGTTTAGTTATAATGGCGCCCATCTATGGATCAGTCTCCCCGTGGAAACACATAAAGAAAATTAAACTCCTAAAGTCTGTCTAAGAGAAATATTATCAAAGATAATTTCCGAACAGAACTCCCATATGTAAGGTATTAGCATGCTGTTATCGTCCTTGTTGTTGCGCGTGTTTTTGTTAATGTTTGTAAGCTTTGTTTGTTATCTTACTATTATTTTGTGTTGTAATTAACGAGTAGCAACGTTTTGCTCTCGACAAAAATTTGTTTTCACTTAATTTTCTTAACATTTGGAATAGTGGGTCATTTTCTAGCCTCTTCTACTTGTATGTCTAAATTACTGAATTTAGCTGAGATTATGATGGAAACAGAAATCCCTTTTGAACTTTACTGACGGCGATTTTTATGCATCATTTTATGATTTTTTATGCAACGCCACTATCCCCGTGTCAAACATTAAAATACTACATTAGCCGCAGAACGCACGGCTCAAAGATTGGACTCTGAAGAAAGATAAATATCTTTGTCGTTGGCTTTAGCAGGTTTCTATCTCACTGTGCAAGGCTATTGGAAATTTCCACACTGATATCATCCGTGGTAAATAAAAACCAAAGCTATAGGATGTTCAACTTTTCGAAGCTAATCTTTTATGATTGCCCTTCATTGCTAAGTTTTTTATTCATTGAATCAATTTAGATGGATCCTTCATTCTCTAATTTCTTAATAATATTCTAAAGCTCCTCTTCTTTTCGTCGAAAATATTTGGCGGTGTCTGTTCCTTTGTTTTCCTCGAGATCTCTGATCTTGAAGCTTAGCTAGTCCTCCCTCATACAAAAGCAAAACAATTGCCTTTAGCTACCGAGCCCGTGAAATTATTTAGAGCAATTCTAATTATTCATCACCATTTAAAAGCCGTGGATGCCAAAAGAAGTGGTTGAAACCTACGATTACGAGAAGTCATTTACTGATAAAACCATCACATGTAATGCTAAAAGAAACTGTTAATCTTTCACAGTCTTCCTTAATAAAATGTATGTGAAAGAACACTTAAGCCTTACGTACTTGATGTAAATTGCAAGCATAGCTTAAAGCTCTTTCTGAGAAATCCACGTTACAAAAATCATGCTAGTTTTCGGAAAATGGGAGGAAAACTTTAAAATACCTTTGATACTTCTGATGAAATTTCTTGTTTGCAGTCTCTTTTGCTATTGTTATTTTTATCATTTCCATTTAGATTTGCACATTGTTCTTATGTTTAGTATTAAACTTCTCAAAGGAGTTAGTAACTCTTATTGTTGCACCTATCCTGTCACGGTAGAAACACAGCTTTCCCTTTAATTTGTGCAGTTAATAAAGCGTTTGTCCTCATCGTGCCCTGACCTTTTCAAGAATACGACGGCGTTGTAAATGAAACATATCAGATTTCTTCTAAGAAAGAGTCCCTCGTGTGTATGTTGTTTTCCCCGAAAACGAAGTATCTCCTATTTGAGTTCGGAAAAAATATTCATCGTTGGCTATTGCTGGTTTACATTTGATGCATGCAAGTAACTCCGCAATTGAAGGAACAATCAAGTGTCAAAAATTCTCAAAACATTTTTTAAAATTATATCAGCCGATAAACAATATCTACAGTTTTCTCAGACACAATTCAGTCACAAAATGAATTTTCTCTGCGGAACCTCAGAGAAATATCCATTCGTGGTGCAACACTGTGCTAACTTGGATGGTTGGGAACTAGTTTAGAAACATTTTTCGAACTGATCTCTATAAGGGTAAGACCGACAGTTATTTCATGACGATAATAGATCAGTTTTGACAAAGTTATCAATGAGAGTCGATGATCGAATGATTATTACATGGAGATCACAGGAGCAGAGGATTAGATGTTAAAGTACCGTAAATTTGAAGAGCTAATTTAGCTACAAAAAATGAAGAAGCATATTACTAACCTGGAGATTTGGTTTAGCCACAGTTTCTTCGTATGAGCGTAAACGTCGTCAGAGAAAGTACCACTGTAATGGTCATTTACTCCGTACCCTGCAGTCATTTAATTAGATCTCTGAATACGATAGTGTTACAGAGACAAACCATTTGATTGGTTCCTTATCGTAGAATTCATCGAAAAGGGGCTTTCCCAGTAAACACTCAATAGTTTGTTTTGATCGATATAACGGTATCATGCCCCGACTTTTCTACGAACAGCTTTTTGAATGCAACCTTCAAAGTTCTTCTAGGAAAAAAATAAGTTTACAATGAAAAGAATTGATGCAGTTACCATCTACAAGACGGTTTATCAATTTTTCAGTTCTTTCCTAATAGTTCTGAGCCGTTCATTATATGATATGCTTGCCTATGGCGGAGGGAACGGCTGCTCATAACAGACAGAGCTACAATTTATTTTGAAGGAGAAAAATTTATTTAGCGGCTAACACTTTTGGCTTTCAGTTCGTGGAATTAAAATCTTTTCTTAGAGCTATTTAAGACCTATTCAGATATTTCTGCAAGGAAAAGTTTTGTTGTCAATCACGCGTAATCCTGAAGTGGCCGTCTTCTACTGTCTTCTGTAGTGTCACGGCAAGAACTGGAATTAATGCGCTAGTGGTTATGAGCAAGAAATCACAAAAGGGGAGAACTCAAATGTGTTTCGAGTGCAAATGTCGAATTAATAATATACTCGGAAAAAAACAATGGCCTAGCGTACCGTAGAGTCACTGTAGCTCAGTGATAGCGCATCGGTGTGCGGAATACGAGAGTCAGAGGTTCGATTCCTCGCTGGAACTCATCATTTTTTTCTCTGACCTACGCCCGTGACATGACGCAAAAACATCTTTCCTCATTTCTATTTCTTGCTCAACACTAAAAAATTCTGGAGTGTTCCTGAAATTGGCTGATTATCAAAGCAAGGACATAATACGAATATATCATCTGTATGAGTCTCTATACCACCCGAGGGGTTTGCCGTGACGCGTGACGCCCTTATAGTAAAATAATTATCGAGGAGTTGTGTGACCGGTACCACTATAGCCAAATCATGCATGATTACACCGGCATAACAGCGTGGAGTTTTTAAAGAAAACCGTGACACAACCACTTTAATAGTTTTTTCTGACTGAAGCTTATTGACGTCGTGACCTTTTCGATAACTGCTTGATTCCCGAAGATATTGACACTTTCTGTTACTTGGACGTGCGAGTGCATATATCTATATTAAGGGTCGATCGAACCTTGAGGCTTACTGCAGTGATTTAAACAAATTGTATCTAGGATATTCTCGTCACTATAACCGTTTGAAAAAAAAGGTTCAATTTCAAGCCATTTTAAGTCATTTCCCAGGTTCCTCTGTGCGTTTGCTACATTTCATCTACGGAATAGAGGTTCCTTCACGGCGATTTCGATTGACTGATACTTTCTTCAACAGCTGTAATCTCGGAGAAATTCGAGGTAAATAGTACGGTTTGTGGATGTTTTATCTAACTCTCTTGAACCAGTTGAAGGTTTCTTTATTCTTCTCTCTCTTACACACAACTTATTACCTCGGGACTAGCTCTGACCTCTCAAGGAAAGTGGTGGTCACCGCTTATAAAAGTGACGCTTACTGAGCTGTCAATCTCTAACCTTCGTCATGCTTTTATACTTAACTAGTGAATCACGCTAAGCTACGAAAAGCGGAGTTTGCATATTAAGTAGGTACCTTCGCGATGTTACGCTTTACAAAATGACTTTCTACCTTAAATTTCTTTGTCTTACGGTTACGTTCGGGAAAAAAGAAAACAAGATTGACGATAGAAAAATTATAATAAACTTACTAACAGAATTAAAATTATACTTAAAAATATATCTAAAGAGAAAATAGTCCTTGAGGACTGTTGCATAACAGCAAAATAAAGAGAAAATTCGGAGAGGCAAGGGCGTACCCAAGGTACCCCCCCCAAAAGAGCTACGTGCTATTCGTGTAAATTACCTGATTATAGATTCAGTGCAGAGGATGAGTACTTCATGTTTACACCATAAGTCACCTCAAAGAAGAAAAGGTGTCGAGCGTGCTAAATTATACCTGTAAGATAGACCGCCAAAAGGAATAAGAAATGATCAACTGGCTTATTATCATTTTTACTGAATGGCAAATGGCAATATATTATTTCCATTCAATTTCAAAGTTTAATTACGTCAAAAAACACTTATAATGAAAATTCTTTCTCGATGTTTATTTTGTCTTTTAACTGGTTCAACAATTGGACTGTGCTTAGGAATATACGAATAATATTTCTATCGGTGCCTCGATCAAACAAACCTTTACTTTATTGCGCAGAAGGTACTAAAGTTTTCCACAAAAGTTTAAAAAAGAAGCTAGAGGAAGTTTTTTTTAAGGTTCAGTGTTCATGTCAATTGTGCTTGTTCTACATGGCTACGTTTTCATGGTCCATTGACCCAATTTAGATCTACCCTTCTTCCTCATATTTCTTCATAATATTCTCAAGAATCTCCGCTTTCTGCTTCAATTCTTTGGCGGCGTTTGATCCTTTCTTTTCCACGAGATCTCTGATAGTGCAGCCAAGATCGATAATATCCCATGTCAGAAATACAGTGCTGATTCCAATGATCAAGCCACCAGCAAGTTTGCCTCCTGCTTTGATTCCAGCTTGTAAGACATCATCGGCGGCTCCTGCACTTGCCTTCCCAGCTGCTTTTGCAGCAGCCTTCCCAGCTGCTTTTGCACTAGCCTTGCCAGCAGACTTTGCACCAGCCTTGGCAGCAGACTTTGCACCAGCCTTGCCAGCAGACTTTGCACCAGCCTTGCCAGCAGACTTTGCACCAGCGTTGCCAGCAGACTTTGCACCAGCGTTGCCAGCAGACTTTGCACCAGCGTTGCCAGCAGACTTTGCACCAGCTATCCCAGTCGCTTTTATACCCGCGTTACCAGCTTCTGAGGCAACGAATTTGGCTGCCGGTCCTGCAAAGGCCAAGCTTTCTTTATAAGCCTCTTCGGCGGCAAGCAAAATCATACAGAAGAGCTTGCACACTGGCTTGCCCCATCTATTAACCTCAGCCAGCTTGCAAATGTTGCGCAGTCTGGGTATATCTTTGTCATCCAACCACTTGTGGATGGTCCCCTTAACATTCCTTATGCTATCCACAGCCTTCTTTAAGTCACTGTCAGCTTTCTCGATTTCTTTCGAGTTGATGTGTGACTCTTTAATATTTCCCGCTATGTTTGTACCAGCTCCGATGACGCCAAAGCTTATTCCTGTAACTAACAAGGGTGTAGCAGCCCCTAGCGTCATAACCGTTGCAACTCCTCCGATGATGGTGAGGACTCCTCCCACTACACCAACGGAAATTCCACCTATACGAGTTATCTTGCCATCACTCCACGCTTCGTCAAGTTTATCAGCCGCTGCACGGAGACTTTGGACTGCTTCCTTTGCTATGCGAAACATAACTTCTACATCATCGTTTAACTTTTCGGCGTCTTTCATATCCGAGTGTGACTGATCGACGTCCAGGTCATTGAGAGCATTGTCCCACTCTTTGAATTCCCCCATTCTTAGTTGCACGATTCGTATTCCTGCAGAGTAAGGTCAGGCAAAGGGAATCAAAATTGTTACATTAAGGAAAACTGGGAATGACAAAATTGTGTAGATACAGCAACACAGAAAATTAGTTGGGTGCGTCAACTTGCCTAGTGAAAAAACATTTCTTCGAACAAACCGTGCCGCTCAAGAAGGTATAAAATTGTAATTCAGCTAACAAAATTCATTTACTTAGAATTATCCTCGCTAAAGAGTGCTACACTGACGAAAAATCATTTGATGGGTTCGCTTATCACAGGTTTTATTAAAAAAAAAGGGGCTGTCCCTGTAGAAAGATAATTGCCTTGACTCCTTTTCCCGAACAACGAAGGCTTGTCAAGCCATCTGGAAAATTTTCTTCGTCTGCATGATGTTTGCAGAGCGTTTTGACCTTTATTGGCTTATTTCTGGTGCTGTTTTACAAGGATCTACCCACAAAAAGGAAAAAAAAAAAGAAAAGCTTTCGTGGATTTGTGTCTGATGCATGCTCAGAAATGGCCAGTCAAAAATTCAACAATTCTCAAATAATTCCTTGAACGTACATCTCCCGTTATCGCGGGCAATTACTGTTTTCTCAGAAAAAATGAACGGAAGGAAAGAAATAGCTTTTATAGGATACGTGAGGTCTAAAATCTCTGAAGATAATTCCTGTTTCAATCCATTGTGTTGTGTTATTTAAGCATTGACCTTTCAATCGAGTTAAGTCTAATACCCACGCATACAACTTGTTTTCAAATATTCTGGTGTGTCTTATTATGAGTGGCCTCAAGTGTTTCACTCCTTAAAAGCTGGCCTGCTGGAATTGAGATTAAACAACTTCCTTACTTTCTAGAGTTCACTCTAAATTAAGAAAGAGAAAATATGTGATAGTGTAATTTTATCGTCCGGGTGAGTGTAGTCCTGAGAGGGACTTTTGTCGGTAATGGTGACTGACGTTTCGACAACCTGAGCAGAAGTCATCATCAGAGGCAAGTGAAAGGTTGTTGTCAGTCGAATGTACTTAGTCCAGTTTGTGTACACTGATTGATCAGTTTTGCCGTGATGTTATTGTCTGTAAGACTCAAGTGGCGTAGGTCGTCGTGATTGGTCGGTTTGGATCTGTTTGTGAAGTTAGGTCGTTCTGTTCGGTACGTTTGTAATGTTAATGTCGTGGATGAGTCGTTTGTATGGTGCCGGTGGTGGTTGGCACCTGTTGAGTGGAGTCTGTTCCAAGTTAGTAAACCAGCTTTCCAGGGTCAGTCGTTGAAAGTAGTAGGTGCTGTAGGTTAGCATTGGGCAGATTCCTAGTTAATAGTGCGGTTCGTAAGTCGGTGATGTTCAGCAATGTGATTGTTGACATCGGCTTTCCTCGTCGCTCGTTTGTGTTCAGTCAGTCTAGTTGTGAGGTTTCTGCCAGTCTCACCGATGTAGGAGGCGTGGCAGTCGGAGCAATTGATCTTATATACTGCTCCTTGTCTGCTCCTCGGTTCGTCTCTGTCTTTGATGTTAGTCAATAACTGACGTAGTGTGGTAAGATCAGTGTTTTTTGTTTGTTTGTTTGTTTTTTTTTTATCATGGCATGACTTTCCCCGCATAAACACAAATGCCACTTGAATGTAAATGAAGGCAGACATTTAGGAAAAAAGTCCCTTATGGAAATGATGGTTGCACAGCGTGTAGCGTGTTATTAACTTACTACGCTTGTTTTTTGAAAGATTTCCCCTTACCTAGGAGCTTTTCCCTTCTAAATCTAAGAGAAAATAAGTTTCTCCTTCCATAAGATAATAAAATGAGTAACAACAATTCTCAAACAATCTCTGTAACGCAGATCTACTTGTCATCTATATTCACTCTTTTTTGAGAACTTATGGTAGATATATTTCTCTGAACGACAGGATTTCGCAAATCAACCATTTGATTGGTTCATATATATCACAATTCGTAAAGACAAGGGCTTTCTCTGTAAATGAATGGGAGTTTGTTTTGATCACATCCTGACCTTTTCAAGATTACAATGATTATGTAAATGAGTCCCTCGTGCACATTTTTTTTTACAAAACTATTTGCTTTTTCATTGACTTATTCCAGCTGCTTTTTCAAAGGGATTTACCCCGAAAATTGGACCTTTTCGTGTATATCCAAGAAGTCACGTTATACACAATAGAATATGATCTCTTGTATACATATCATTAATGGGAAACTTTTTTAATAAGACTCCCAAACACTGTTTGGAAATTTCTTAATCGTACATCTCCCGGTTATCGATTATCAGTTTTTAAGAGAGAATGTCTTTGAAGGAATTAGCACTGGTACCATTCTATTATCCCTATGAGCATTTCTCAATAAAAACCTCCCCTTTCTTAAAGAATTAAGTGAAGGTTTCTTCGAAAGAAATTAGCTCTGGTACCATTTAATTATTCCTATGAGCGTATGCTTCATCAAATTGAAATAAGAAACATCTCGTAACATATTATTCTGAAAAAATATCAAAAACAACCCCTTTCCCTTTCCTAATTCAGGAACATATCGCTGTCAGTTTTAGGTAGGGTAGCAAAACATTCAATTTCTATCTTCAAAATTCTGGATTTCATTTACATCTTTCGTTCTTAGAAAAAATGATATGAACAGTTGATGTTGAAATCTAAAACCTGTTGAAATCGCCACACAGATTATGTTATCCATAATAATAAAACTGTTATTCCATTTACGAGAAAAATGTGGTAGATAAAAAATATAGTGAGCAATCTTATTTCCTCCGCCGATTTCGAATTTTCTGATTCGAGGTCTTTCACTCAAACGGATCGCAATATAAGCTACAAGAACACAACGATTTATGTAAATGAAACCTATCAGATATCTTTCAGGGAACAGTCACTCGTGCACATGTTGTTTACGAAACTATTTACTTTATTATTGGCTTATGCCGGCTGCCTCATCAAAGAGATTTAGCTCGGAAATAAGACCTCGTGTAGATCGATCCAAAAAGTCACTTTATAAGTAGTGGGACATATTATTCCAGGATTCTCAAATGGAAATTTCTTGAACTTATTATTATACATAGATAAATCTGTAGAACATTTTGTGTTTCGGTGTTTAGGCAAATAAGTGGCAGTCTTCCATAACAAAATTTTGTATATCAAAGCTATCAGTCTACGAAGATCAAGCTTACAAAATCATTTCCCGAACCTCTCGATTAAAAAAGTGATGGCCTTCCAAAAGGAAGCAGCTCTTTGATAAACAGAATGCAAGAAATATTTCAAAGCTGAAAAACCGTACCCAATTTTAAAAGAATTGAGGTGGTAAAGTAGCGCTGAATATAACATACCTTTGTTTGCAAAAACAGTTGAATTATTGTTATACAGCTCAATGACTTAAAAAAAAAATGGCTGTTTGGTCCATAGCGGAGGCAGGATATAAATAGATCGCAATACAGATATTCCATTTTACAATAACAAAAAAAATAGTAGATAATAATTTGATGAATGTTCTTATTTCCCTCTAGAGATTGAGATTAAATTGATTGAAGGCCTTTCACTCATTTACATGTGCATCGCAACTGTCAAGTTCTACGGACAAAATGCCCTTTCAACAAAACGTGCGCTTTTAATTAACAAAGTTTCCATTACGACGTATAAACAGGTCCAAAAATGACACGAACGTCTGATCTAATCGTTATTTTTCACATGCTTAAATTACTCCCGAATTAATTTACCTTCACGTGATAATTTAATGACTTTTCTTCCTGACCACACTCATACGTTTTGAAAAGCCTCTTCGTTTGCATATTGGCGAGAACGAAGGAAAATATTTTTGCCTATACCAACGTCCAAAAGTGACGAAAAGGCTGATTTTCGGAAGAAATGCAAAGGAAAGGGGGTTTGTGTCTAATTGGCGCTAGAAGAGAAGTAGAAAGAGAAAAAATACTCTGGAAACAACTCTGCAGTGAAACCACTCGCTTGCGCCTCGTGGTTTCACTTTCGTTTTAAACATTGTAGACATCATTTCTATGATAAGTAAGGTTAGAGACAACGGAAAATTGTGGTCAATTTGTTGAATAACATTAGTTCGATCGGATCCGTCGAATTTGATGGGTAACTGTCTCGCTCTTAAAGCACAATAAAACAAAATCATAACTAATATGAGCTTCTCGGTTGGATATCACAGATAAATCAGTAGAACCTGATGTGTTTCGGTGTTTAGGCGAATTAGTGGCAGTCTTTCATGAAATACTTCTATATCGAAGCCATCATTCTACGAAGATCAAGATTACAAAATTATCTCCCGACCACCCGACTACCGTCTTACATTACGAACGGAAACAAAAAGATATAACTTTATCATTCGGAAGTAAAAAGCCTGCACCGTCATTTTCTTTATATTGCCGATTTGGTCTACGGCACCTCTAAAATCGATATTCTCTCGCTCTGAAAGGGGGTGTGTGTCTGATTGGCGCTTTAGAGATGAAGAAACTCAAGTGGAAAGTGAGCGTAGTACAGCAAAAGGAAGAAACATAAGACAAACCTTGTGGTGGGCGCTCGGTCCTTTCACCTGAACTTAACACGGCCCTGGTACAAAGCAATCACCAGCTCGAAGTCTTCTTTTTCTCTGATCAATGTTTTGGCATACCCGCGTAAATATCCTCATCAGGTTCGGACAGAACCAATCAGACCTCTGGCTAAATATATATATTTGATGTATTTCGCTTCGATAGCAAAGGGAATTCCCCAGCAGAGGTGTTTTGTTTTGATCAAACACTGCTATAGCAACAGTAAAACAGCTTCGATGTTATGGTACATGTTTCTAAGATGAATAAATCGCACCAGCAGAAAGCAGTTGTTTGCAAAACAATTGAATTATTGTTATACAACTCAGTGACTCCAAAAAATGGCTGTTTGGTCCAAAAACAGGTCCAAAAACAGGTCCAAAAATGACACGAACGTCTGATCTAATGGTTATTTTTCACATGCTTAAATTACTCCCGAATTAATTTACCATCACGCCACACTTCAATGACTTTACTTCCTTATAAGGCCCTGACCACACAAATACATTTTCAAAAGCCCCTTCGTTTGCATACCGACGAGAAACAAGCAAAACATTTTTGCCTACACCAGCATTTTCCCAGCGTCTTCACTCGTCCAAACTGAAACACCCGGAAACGATAAAACGAATGAGACCTGCTTAGGTTACGAAGCCATGTTTTTGTCAATTGAAGTGAATTTGTATAGGTTATCACATGATTTCGAGTGAAATTTGGAATAAATAAGCACGAGTAAATTTTTTTCAAAGACTAACAAAATTGCACGAGCCCGTAGGGCTAGTGCAATTTGTGGTCTTTGAAAAAATTAACAAGTGCTTGTTTATTCCAAATTGCATGAGAAAAATCATGTGATTACCTGTTAATAATATACATGGAAAATACGAGATGGTCTATCATAATTAAACATAAGCAAAGCGCGCGCATCAAGTGCAAAAAATTATTTATTGAAACCGTGCGTCCGGTCAAAACAACTGCGTACGATCAAAACAATAATATGCAATGATATCTTCGCATCTTTAAGGTGCAAAAAAGTTCAAAGTCCGGCTAAACAGTTCAAGGAATTGTTCAGTCTGTCTACGACGGCACAATATTTTGGGGAATTATTACTGATTCCTGACAACACTCCACTCAATAAAGTCATACAGAAAAACGTTAAAACTATTCCACAAGCAAACAAGCTCGTCACATTCCACCGAGATAAACCCTTTACTCGGAGGATTAGATTAAACTTCTCTTGCATTCACCAATCGCTGAGTTTAGAAGTACCTTTGTCGGTTACCTCGCTTTATATGGTCTTCTTCTATGTACATATTTCTCTTTCGATACGATTATGAATTAAGCCTGTTCAGTATTACTAACAGAATGAAAAAAAGGGCACAAAATCAAGGCTTACCTTGTGATGCGAAAGATCCTGCTTAACTCAGTCCGAGTTACCGCAACACTGATCTATGACTGCAATGAAATCCGTAATGATAATGAATTTGGGAAGAGTAGAAACTACTTGAATTCAAAAATGAGTCGGACGAAGTTGACCAAGATCCGTCAATTTCCGGCGAGTTCGAGAAGGAAAAGTTTGCCATTTATCTTCTCGCGAATATACTCCGATCTAATGACAGATTAAGCTTCGACAGTATCGGCTGACTTAGAAATCTAACTTCAGTAAAAACAAATGAAAACCTTGTTATTTATCGGGTCCGCTTCACCTTACCTGTTTCCTGCAAGTTTGTTAACCGCTTGGTGGAAAACTCCGCAACTCTGATCCACGAATGCAGTGAATTCAAATTGCTTACATGTCACTGAGCCTCCTCTGCATACGTGTCACTGAGCCTCCTCTGCAGAACCAACCAGATTTCTGTAAAGTATACTGTTTAATCACAGACAAGCTTATTTGATTGGTTCGCATTTTTAGTTTCAATTCGTGGAAATACGAACAGTGAAATTCCTGGATAACTCTGGAAAAAGGCCAACCAATAAAAGCAGCTTTAGCAGGCTGAATGTGAAAGTCCAAAGTATCTTTTGTGTAATGTTTGTCGTTCATAGATTTTTGCCGAGTGTCGATAAGCTTTGCACCGAAAAGGCTGAGGTTTGCTCGATACCACCCTTTGCTATGATTCTGCCAAAGTCTTGACTGTGGTATTTCACACCTGGTTATACGAATAAAGAAGGCTTCTGTGCACGTGTGTTCTATGCAAGGCTTCATCTCTGTTTGTTTCAGCGCCTATTATTAACCATTTCCCCTTTGAAATGTTTCGCTGCTAATTTTCTAAGGGAGAGGACGGAGCGGGAAGGTGTACATGGTCAATTATTAGGATGATTTGCCGTTGGTACTGTGAAAAGCTTTGCACACACTTGTTGTTACCATTTTTATTGAATATTTTCATTTGTTAGACGATTTCTTATTCTAGTGTTGGGAAGCATGTGCACAGGCACAGCGGTCTTACAGCAAACACGAGGAGAATGAGTCGCCATGTTCATAGTTGTTTTCATTAGTTTGACAGCGGATTTCCAAAAGCTCCCACATATTGTGAGTTCTTTAGTCGGATGAAGAGACAGTTCAGTGTTGGAAATTCCAAGGTTTACTTATTCGCTCGTATATTTTCCATTTAGCGAATCGTGCAAAGGTTAAGAAGTGTATGTGGTCTGACCTGATCTCGATTGTTAGAGTTTGTGAATAAATTGTGGATTTGCGACTACAATACTAGGCCCGCTCGAGTATTCGTAAGCATTTTGCAATCCTATTTTAGACCAGACTTAAACTTAGCTTTACCAGTTTTGTAAATATCGGAAAAATTTCTTGATTACGCCCTTTAGAAAACGATTTTTTGTCCATTGCACCTAATCTGCTCTCCTTCTAGGCAATTCTACAGGATGTTTCACAGCGCTCCCCGTCAATTAAAAAAAAAAAAACTTTGAGGGGACTATTGAGTATCATCCTTAAGAAGTTCGTTTAGAGGGGAACCGCTCAAACATCTGTACATGTTATTCCTGCCGTGGGCAAGATGATCTGGAATCGTGTTCAAAGATGCAATGTAAACAACCTCCTTTCTAACTTGGGCCGCCTAAACTGTGAAGTTCCCCAAAAGTGAATAATTTTAATCGGCCCCCTATCTTCCTGATCCACATAAATGAACTACTAAATTGCTTGAATATGGGCTCTCACCGCCGAATGAACGCCAACCACACTAATGTTACTGGCTCTAACTAGCTCATCTTGAGACCCGAGTCAATAGTCATCTTAACTCGCAATTCTCGAAATTTTAACTTAAACTAAGCTTTAGGTAGTCAATTCTTGATATTGGAAGGGACAATATGAAATTCTCGGCATTTTAACTAAAAAAATTACGCTTTAGGTAATTAATTCTTTATATGAGAAGGGGAGTTATGAAGTTTATGTAGTCAGTTCTTGGTATTGAAAGGGGAGATGAAAATTGAAGCATGTTGATCTTAAGCTTAAAGCTAAAAGGTTAGGTATCTGTACCGCCAAAACAGAGTTTCTGGCGATTGCCTCAAGGAAAAAATTACAATCTTTAAAACAATAATGTAGGTGACATCTAAATGAACCAAACCAACTGGAGAAAGATTGACATCGGTGGAAAACTCTCGTGAAAGGAGGCCTAAGTGCATGAGATTTGTAAAACAGCCTCGTCATGTTTCGTTGTATGCACTTAAGCCAGACAGGCCATTTATTTCCATGCACAAGCCACTGATATACAAAAAGATATCTTCAACACAAAAGCATAATTTCATGTTGTTCCTTCCCATACCAAGAACTGACTACCAAAAGCTTAGTTTTGGTTAAAATTGCGGAATCTCTGAGTTACAATGTCCACGACACAAAGGCAAAAATTTCGTATCGTCCCTCCTAATAACAAGACTTGACTACCTAGAGCGCCGTTTTAGTTAACGTTCCGGGAATTTCGATTGACGATGTCCACAAAAGCAAAATTTCATAATTTCCCTTATCATATCAAGAATTGACTACCTAAAGCGTAATTTTAGTTAAAATGCCGAGATATTCGAGTTACAATGTTCACAACACAAAGGCAAAATTTCATATTGTCCTTTCCAATACCAAGAATTGACCATCTAAAGCTTAGTTTAAGTTAAAATTCCGGGAACACTGAGTTACAATATTCAAAACACAAAGGCAAAATTTCATCTCCCCTTCCAATACCAAGAACTGACTACCTAAAGCGCAGTTTTAATTAACGTTCCGGGAATTTCGAGTTACGATGTCCACAAAGGCAAAACTTCATAACTTCCCTTCCCAAATCAAGAATTGACTACCTAAAGCGTAATTTTAGTTAAAATGCCGAGAATTTCTAGTCACAATGTCCACAACACAAAGGTAAAATCTCACATTGTCCCTTCCAATACCAAGAATTGACTACCTAGAGCTTAGTTTAAGTTAAAATTCGGGGAATTGGGAATTACGATGTCTTCGACACAAAGGCTAAACATGTTTCATGTTGTCCATTCCCAAACGAAGAACTGACTACCTGAAGTTTAGCTTAAGTCAAAATGCCGGGATTTTCGAGTTACGATGTCTGTGACCAAAAAAGCCAAATTTCATGTTGTCCCTTTCCATGTCAAGAACTGACAACGTAAAGCTTAGCTCTAGTTAAAATTTCGGGAACACTGAGTTACAATGTTCACAACACAAAGGCAAAATTTCATCTCCCCTTTCAATACCAAGAACTGACTATTTAAAGCGCAGTTTTAGTTAAAATTCCGGGAATTTCGAGTTACGATGTCCTTGACACAAAGTTAAAATTTCATGCTGTTCCTTCCCATATCAAGAACTGACTACAGCGTAGTTTTAGTTAAAACGCAGATATTTTCGAGTTACGATGTCTTTGACACAAAGGCAAAATTTCATATGGTCCCTTCCTATACCAAGAACTGGCTACCTAAAGTGTAAGGTATTTAAAATTCCGGGAACTTTAAGTTACGATGACCACAAAGGCAAAATTAATTTCATAATATCCCTTCCCCTAGCAAGAACTGACCACGTAAAGCGTAGATTTTAGTTAAAATGGCGCCCATCTTTGGATCAGTCTCCCCGTGGAAACACATAAAGAAAATTAAACTCCTAAAGTCTGTCTAAGAGAAATATTATCAAAGATAATTTCCGAACAGAACTCCCATATGGTAAGTATGCTGTCATTTTCCTTGCTGTTGCGTTATTAAAGACAATTTTCTGAACAGCACTCTCACACGGCAAATATGTAAGGTATTAGCATGCTGTTATCGTCCTTGTTGTTGCGCGTGTTATTGTTAATGTTTGTAAGCTTTGTTTGGTATCTTACTATTATTTTGTGTTGTAATTAACGAGTAGCAACGTTTTGCTCTCGACAAAAATTTGTTTTCACTTAATTTTCTTAACATTTGGAATAGTGGGTCATTTTCTAGCCTCTTCTACTTGTATGTCTAAATTACTGAATTTAGCTGAGATTATGATGGAAACAGAAATCCCTTTTGAACTTTACTGACGGCGATTTCGATCGACTTTATTTTTCCTAATCAGTTGTAATTTTATGCATCGCCACTATCCCCGTGTCAAACATAAAAATGACCTGAAAACTTATGTAAATGCAAACTTTTTATTCTAAAGGATTAAAATACAACATTAGCTGCAGAACGTACGGCTCAAAGATTGGACTCTGAAGAAAGATAAGATATCTTTGTCTTTGGCTTTAGCAGGTTTCTATCTCACTGTGCAAGGCTATTGGAAATTTCCACACTGATATCATCCGTGGTAAATAAAAGCCAAAGCTATAGCATGTTCAACTTTTCGAAGCTTATCTTTCATGGTTGCCCTTCATTGCTAAGTTTTTTTATTCATTGAATCAATTTGGATGGATCCTTCATTCTCTAATTTCTTAATAATATTCTAAAGCTCCTGCTTTTCGTCGAAGATATTTGGCGGCGTCTATTCCTTTGTTTTCCTCGAGATCTCTGATCTTGAAGCTTAGCTAGTCCTCCCTCATACAAAAGCAAAGTAATTGCTTTTATCTATCGAGCCCGTGAAATTATCTAGAGCAATTTCAAATTATTTATCACCATTTATAAGCCGTGGATGCCAAAAGAAGCGGTTGAAACTCACGGTTACGAGAAGTCATTTACTGATAAAACCATCAGATGTAATGCTAAAAGAAACTGTTAATATTTCACAGTCTTCCTTTATAAAATAAATTGAAAGAACACTTAAACCTAATGCGTTTGATGTGAAATACAAGTATTTTGCTCAAAGCTCTTTCTGAGAAATCCACGTTACAAAAATCATGCTAGTTTTCGGAAAATGGAAGGAAAACTTTGACCTTTGATACTTCTGATGAAATTTCTTATTTGCAGTGTCTTTTACTATTGTTATTTTTATTATTTCCATTTAGATTTGCACATTGTTCTTAAGTTTAGCATTAAACTTCGCAAAGGAGTAAGTAACTCTAATGGTTGCTCCCTACCCTGTCACGGTAGAAACACAACTTTCCCTTTAATTTGTGCAGTTAATAAAGCGTTTGTCCTCATCGTGCCCTGACCTTTTCAAGAATACGACGGCGTTGTAAATGAAACATATCAGATTTCTTCTAAGAAAGAGTCACTCGTGTGTATGTTGTTTTCCCTGAAAACGAAGTATCTCCTATTTGAGTTCGGAAAAAAATTATTCATCGTTGGCTATTGCTGGTTCACATTTGATGCATGTTAGTAACTCCGTAATTGAAGGAACAATCAAGTGTCAAAAATTCTCAAAACATTTTTTAAAATTATATCAGCCGATAAACAATATCGACAGTTTTCTCAGACACAATTCAGTCACAAAATGAATTTTCTCTGCGGAACCACAGAGAAATATCCATTCGTGGTGCAACACTGTGCTAACTTGGATGGTTGGGAACTGGTTTAGAAACATTTTTCGAACTGATTTCTTTAAAGGTAAGACCGACAGTTATTTCATGACGATAATAGATCAGTTCTGAAAAAGTTATCAATGAGAGTCGATGATCGAATGATTATTACATGGAGATCACAGGACACCTTTCTCAGTTAAAAAAAAAAACAGTTCAGATTTAGAAGATTGATCAGACATGAAGGTATCGAAGGAAGGTGGTAAACTAGCGCCGAATAACGACAATAATATTTAGACATCCGAACTCACCAACTGAATGTAAGTAGATCAGATTTTTGGATCGCGCGTTACTCGGAGCAGAGGATTAGACGTTAAAATGCCGTAAATTTGGAGAGCTAATTTAGCTATAAAAAATGAAGAAACATATTACTAACCTAGAGATTTGGCTATGCCACAGTTTCTTCGTATGAGAGTAAACGTCGTTAGAGAAGGTACCACTGTAATGGTCATTTACTCCGTACATTGCGGTCATTTAATTAGATCTCTGAATACGATAGTGTTACAGAGACAAACCATTTGATTGGTTCCTTATCGTAGAATTCATCGAAAAGGGGCTTTCCCAGTAAACACTCAATAGTTTGTTTTGATCGATATAAGTATCATGCCCCGACTTTTCTACGAACAGCTTTTTGAATGCAACCTTCAAAGTTCTTCTAGGAAAAAAATAAAAAATTTGGATATCAGTTCGTGGAATTGAAAACTTTTCTTAGAGGTATTCAAGACCTATTCAGATATTTCTGCAAGGAAAAGCTTTGTTGTCAATCACGCGCAATCCTGAAATGGCTATCTCAATTCTATTGTCATCTGTAGTGTCACGGCAAGAACTGGAATTAATGCGCTAGTGGTTAGAAGCAAGAAATCACAGAAGGAGAGAACTCAAATGTGTTTCGAGTGCAAATGTCGAATCAATAATATACTCGGAAAAAAACAATGGCTTAGCTTAGCGTATAGTCAATGTAACTTAGTGATAGCGCATCGGTGTGCGGAATACGAAAGTCTGAGGTTCGATTGCTCGCTGGAACTCAGAATATTTTTTTCCGACCTATGCCCGTGACATGACGCAAAAACATCCTTGCTCATGACTATATCTTACTCAACACTTAAATTCTGGAATGTGCTTGAAATTGGCTGATTATCAGAGCAAGGACATAGTACGAATATATCATCGGTATGAGTCTCTATACCACCCGAGAAGGTAACAAAACAAAGAGGTTTGCCGTGACGCGTGACGCGTGACGCGTGACGCCCTTATAGTAAAATAATTATCGAGGGGTTGTGTGACCGGTACCACTTTAGCCACATTATGCATAATTAGACCGGCATAATAGCGTGGAGTTTTTAAAGAAATCTGTGACACAACCCCTCTAAGAGTTTTTTCCGACTGAAGCTTACTGGCGTCGTGACCTTTTCGACTACTGCTTGATTCCCGAAGATATTGACACTTTCTGTTACTAGGAAGTGCGAGTGAATAAGGGAGAAAGCAAGTGAGCGAACCTTCAGGTTTACTGCAGTGATTCAAACAAATTGGATCATGGGACATTCTGGTCACTACGACCGTTAGAATTTGGAAAAAAAGAAAAGTTCCAAGCCATTTTAAGTCATTTCCCACGGTCTTCTGTTCGTTTGCTACATTTAATTATCCTTTCAACCAGGGGCGATTTTCATTGACTGATACTTTCTTGAACAGCTGTAATCTCGTACATAACCTTAATCCCCGAGTCAAACACAACGCGGTCCTCAAACTTGTAGTTACAAAGGTATTTTATTCAAAATGGATTAAAACACTACATTAACCGGAGAAACTCGAAGTAAATAGTGTGGTTCAGCGATTGGATTGTTCTTAAGAATATACGAATAATATTTTTATCGGTGCCTTAATAAAACAAACTTTTACTTCATTGATTGAGCAGAAGGTACTATAGTTTTTCACAAAAGTTTAAAATGAAGCTAGAGGAAATTTTTTTTCAAGGTTCAGAGTTCATGTTAATTGTGCTTGTTCTACATGGCTACGTTTATATAGTCCATTGATCCAATTTAGATGGATCCTTCTTCCTCTAACTTCTTCATAATATTCTCAAGAATCTCCGCTTTCTGCCTCAGACCTTTGGCGGCGTCTGATCCTTTCTTTTCCACGAGATCTTTGATAGTGCAGCCAAGATCGACAATATCCCATGCCAGGAACACAGAGCTGATTCCAATGATCAAGCCACCAGCAAGATTGCTTCCTGCTTTGGTTCCAGCTTGAAAGACATCATCGGCGGCTCCTGCACCTGCCTTCCCAGCTTCTTTTGCACCAGCCTTGCCAGTAGACTCTGCACCAGCCTTGCCGGCAGACTTTGCACCAGCCTTTCCAGCAGCTCCTACACCAGCTATCCCAGCCGATTTTACAGTAGCCTTACCAGCTTCCGGGGCAACGAATTTGGCCGCCGGTCCGGCAAAGGCCTGGCTTTCTTTATAAGCCTCTTTGGCGGCAAGCAAAATCACACCGAGGAGCTTGATCACTGGCTTGCTCCACCTCTTAGCCTCAGCCATCTTGTAAATTTTGTGCAGTGTGGATATCTTTTTGTGCTCCAACCACTCGTGGATAGTCCCTTTAACATTCGTTATGCTTTCCAGAGCCTTCATTAAGTCACTCTCCGCTTTCTTGATTTCTTTCGAGTTGATGAGTGACTCTTTAATATTTCCCACTATGTTTGTACCAGCTCCGATGACGCCAGCGCCCATTCCTGCAGCTAACAAGGGTGTAGCAGCCCCTGCTGTCATTACTGTTGCAACTCCTCCGATGATGGTGAGGACTCCTCCCACTATACCAATGGAAGTTCCACTTACACGAGTTATCTTGGCAGTACTCCACGCTTCGTCAAGTTTATCAGCCGCTGCATGGAGACTTTTGAGGGCTTTATTTACATTGTGAAACATACCTTCTGCCTTATCTTTGAACTCAATGGCGTCAGTCGCATCCAATTGTGACTGATCGACGCTCAGATCAACGACAACACTGTCCAACTCATTGAGGAAGTGCGCCATTCTTAATTACACGATTGTTATATTCCTGCAGAGTAAGGTGAAATTATTACAGTAAGAAAAACTGAGAATGAAAAAGTCGTGTAGATACAGCAAACACAGAAAATTTGTTGGGTACGTCAACTTGTTAAGTGAAGAAAAATTTCCTCGAACAAACCGTGCCGCTCAAGAAGGTATAAAAGTATAATTCACCTTACAGCGTTCATTTACTTAGAACTCTCCGGGCTAAAGAGTGCTATAGTGACGAAAAATCAATTGATGGTTTCGCTTATCATAGGTTTTATTAAAAAGGAGCTGTCCCCGTAAAGATAATTGCCTTGACTCCTTTTCACGAACAACGAAGGCTTGTCAAGGCATCTGGGAAATTTTCTTCGTGCACATGATGTTTGCAGAGCGTTTTGACGTTTAGTGGCTTATTTCTGGTGCTGTTTTACATGGATCTTCCTTGAAAAAAACGAAAAACAAAAAAAAACTATGTTCTATTTGAGTCCGGAAAAATTTACTGTGCTCTCGTGGATTTGTGTCCGATGCATGCTCAGAAATGGCCGGTCATAAATTCAGTAATTCTCAAATAATTCCTTGAACGTACATCTGTCGTTATTGCGGGCAATAACTGTTTTCTCAAAAACAATGAACAGAAGGATAGAAATAGGTTTTATAGGGTGCGTGAGGTCTACAATCTCTGAATAAAATCCCCTTTTCAATCAATTGTGTCGTGTTATTTAATAGAAGCAATGACCTTTCAGTCGGATTAAGTCTAACACCCACGCATACAACTTATTTTCAAACATTCAGGTGTGTCTTACTATGAGTAGCTTTAAGTGTTTCACTCCTTAAAAGCCTGCCTGCTGGAATTGAGAATAAACAATTTCTTTACTTTCTAGAGTTCACTCTGAATTAAGAAAAAGAAAATACGAAGGTAAAATGAAAGCGCAAAAATAATCATAGAAAAAGACAACCAATCTTTAGAGTAAAGGGACTTGATCGTTCTCGATAAATTCATTTGGTTTTGTGGAATTCATTACGTAAATATTTTGGTCACCGGTGAAGAATTGAAGAGCAACGTGATATCCAAGAAGGGTTCTTTTGTGTTGAAAGAGTCCGAGGAATAAAAGAAACTTTGGTATTTGACAAAATATTTTTATCTCTTTATGAATATCACAGTTTTTAGAGCTACTATATCAATCTTACTTGATTGCTTACGATGTTACATAAAGAAACGAAACAAAGTACAGAATTTTCTAGCAGGAAGCAGTTTAGTTAACCAAAAACAAATCGCAGGAAAAAACTCAAAGCCTGAAAGGTCACGCACTGTTTTAGAAGATCTAGACTTGATGTGGCGAGCTGACGATAACTTACATTCACCGACTGAAAAGTTGTTTGAAAGTTGCCTTTGCACTCCGATGACGAATGTTGGAAGTTATACGAAGAAAATTAGCCCTTAAATCATACTCTATCAATCACTACTTTAGTTGGTTAGAGACGAAGAATTAAAACGCCAACCTAGCTGTTCTATGAAGAAAAATATTGCAAACCTTTTAATCGATCAGGCCTGCACAACTCAGCTTCTTCATGCAGACCGATAAGCTGTGCTGGAGGAAACTGATATCGCAGGCTTCTAGAGATGCTTCGAGGTGTAATAAGTATATGGCTTTGTAAAGGCAACAGTGCCACTCAATTAAAACTTTTGATTAGTTCATTAATCATAGAATTCTGAGAAATAATTGTTTCTTTGTATAGATCGGAGTGTTTTTTTGTTTGTTTTTTTTTGCATTTTTTGGTTGATAGCTGTATTTAAAATGAAAAATAATCGACCTTAGCGCCTAGCGAGTTCTCCTTACCCGTTTTTATGTGCATGGAAAGTGCGATTTGGCGGCCAAAAAGTGTTCCCATTAAGCGCACGGCCAAAACGGTGATGTTACATAGCTGTGACGTAGAACACTATGAAGACACGTCGGCAACTATAATGGAGAAAGGAGAAATCTAGAAGAAAGGACGAACGTATTGCGCGGCCAAAATGGACGCGTTTCGACCGTCGAAATCGAGGAGATTTTACTATTTAATGTCGTCGGCCTTATGCTCCGTACCTGCTTCGAAGGCGCCCGTTACGAACACATATCACCAATCAAATCAGGGGAAGATAACCAATGAATTTAGCTTAAAAGAATGCTAATTAAGAGGCCTATTCCCACACCTTACATGATTGTTCAACACTCTTTTCGGTGGACGTTTTCCAAGCGCAGAATGATGAGCTCCTCATTGTTGTTTATTTTACGCGCTTGAGATGTACTCATACTCCCTGTCTTTCCACATGACTACATTTGCGCTTTTCTTATCGTATGAAAATACTATCAATTGTAGTTTATATCGTATTTTAATAACAGAAATACATAATTTTTAATGAAGTTCAAGCCCTTTCCTGAGCTGACCGATATCCTGTTGCGTGAACAGTGGGAAACCTCAGGCGGATACTGGCATAACCACAAGCTCGAAGGGGGCCGTGTATTCTGCTAACCTGGGTTTCCGAAAAACCATCCCACGAGCCATTAATTCCACCCCGCCCTCAAGAAACTTAAAGTAGCAATGTCATTGTGATAACAGCACTGTAAAGAGACAAATAAAGAAACACAAATTTTATAGAATTAGATGGTAGCGAATCCGAGTGTTGTGTGAAAGTCGATGCGTACGAAATATTCATTTATAATACTGATGTCAATTATTTCCTTTGAGCGGAATGGGTCATACGGCAATGCTGCACTAAAACTAAAGAAGGTTTTTCTCCATTAAAAGACCTATTTGAGATTAACCTAAATCAGACAACTATAAACTCACTCGTTCTCCGTTCTATTTGACTGCGGGCTCGACGATAGCCTTTGCCTTTGCAGTCTCTGAGGAAAGGAGCAGCTTGCAATGTTTTCTCAGTGAAAAATCATCGTGCCTCCTGATACAGCTGATTCTTTCATCAAAAATTAGCTTTGGGTTTAATAACTGAATTTCTCTACAGCAACGAAACTCTAGAGCACTGACCTAGCGGAACCTTAGCCGCACATAGTGCAAAAGAATAAAATGTTATGGCAACATAAACGAACACAGCTATCCATTCATAACATTCAATAACAGGGATTTTTTGTTCTAATGTTGACCTAAACACCGCAGGCGAGAAACAGTCTTTGTCAGTCTTCGTCGAGATCCTCATTTGATGCGCGCGGTTCTCCTTCGTAGGGCTGAATCGCAACTTCCATTTCTTCCCTACTTCGTGAGTACGATGTATCACAGCTCTCGGTAGAGCTTGCTGAAAGTAGGTATACATTGCTATCGGACATTATTTCAAGAGTATTTCAACGCTGAATAATACAAAATTACAAAATTAGAAGAGATGTGAGAGATTTGTAAGCGTCAATTGAGAGTCTTCACAGTTTTCTACGTCATCACCCACTAATTCGTTACCAGTCCAAGGGACACTTTTAAGACAAAAAGGAGTACTTTAGGGCCCGAAAAAACCGAGTTTTAAGTTTTTTGAAATTTTTCTTTTGTCAGAATTGGTTTGTACATATGATAAGCTAAATATTTACGCAAAAAAAGAAATTTATTTCGTGTCGTAAGCACTTTAAAAAAAGTAAATGGTATGGTCACAATAAAACCGTGAGAGACGCGGAACTTTCTTTGCGCGTTGGATCCGCCACTTCCATCAACAGAGATTCCAAGACTCATTTATCTTAATAGCGTAGGTTTCTTATCCTCTTTTTTTTGGATCGGTTACAAATGGAAAGTTCCTTTACTGATCCTGACGAACCAAGCTGGATCTAAACGTTACACAAGATTGAAAGAAAAAATGGAGATGAAATGAAACCGTTACGCAGATGAAAAACTGATCAAGTCTATCGTGTTTTTGATGTAGCGCAAGTCACGCAACCCGCGGATAACTTTGTAGCCATCGCTTTGCAGTCATTCCTTTTACCTTGTGAAAAATTTTTTCGGCCTTCAAAACCGGCCTTCACTGCAAGAGCAAATTCCCCTTTCCGCATTCTTGCCAGGTGCGCGAGGCATTTTGGTTTAATGACGTTGATGGTTGATAGGCCTCTGGTGTCAAATGCGTATTCATTCATTCTCCTGTAAACAAAGCTATCCGTACTTCCATTGGGTATGATTCATAAAAGCAATTGTTCTCGAAATGTTCCGAAGACAGGCGCGAAACCTTTTGGAAGAGATGATCTTCCAACAGTATGAATCCATGCACGTCGTTAACAGATGTCTTTCGGGAAGCCAAAAAGAAGAAGCTAAGGATCCCGCTTAGTTTTTGGCCTGATGACTGCACTCGAAAGCTATACAATGTGCCATTTTGCCGGGGAAAACCCAGGGAAACCCCATATACAAAAGAATGAAGCAACCATTACACGTCATCAATCCAAAAAGCCTTGCGCACCTAACAGGATGGCGGACGCGAGAAGTTCAAACTTTGGGAAGTTGAGGTTTTTGCGTTCGGTTTTGAAGGCCAAAAAAATATTACCAAGGTTAACTGTTGGAGTGAGTTTGAACTGTTCCAAGAATTCAAGTTCCGATTTCTGTGTAACAGCATCCTCGATTCGAGGATGCTGTTACATCTCCTTGGCCTTTTAATTTCCGTTGTATTTTTAGCCGCATTAGATCCTTTGCTTTGAACAAGATCCATGATGGCGAAGCCGAGGTCTATGGAATCCAACACTAAAAAGGTAGTGTTACAAGAAGCAGCTAAGCTCTTCTGGGAATTTCAAACTGTTTTCGAACCTGCTTCCACTACTTCATCAGCAACTTGTGCTCTGCCCTTTGCCACTTCCTGTGTCGAGGTTTTTGCGCCGGCTCGGACCGCATCATCAGCAAATTGTGCTCCATTCTTTACTATTTCCTGTTTTTAGGTTTTCGCGCCGGATTGAAGTGCATCATCAGCAAATTATGCTCCATTCCGGCTTTGCCACTTCCTGTGCTGAGGTTTTTCGCGCCGGCTTGCACTGCATCATTAGCAACTT